TTTTGGTGTGATGGTGGTACAATGCTATTACCTCAAGAATAAGACAGAACATGAAACCTGTTTGTGTTCACACCATAACACTGTGGTAAGGGGATAAAATCTAACAAAACGATATTGTAGAAAATTAGCTTTAGTGATTAAGATGTTGAGGTGACTTACTGTTGCTATTCGAAACCATTAAACACAGTAATAAATGGATAAATGGGAGGCATCTGGAGGCCTCTTAGTAATGCAGTATTGCAGTCAAGGACACACCATAGATTTCAATATTGGATGGTCTCCAGTGATTCAGAGTGACGAGGAGTACGATCAACTAAGGACTAGCACAGTAAAATTTTAATTGCACGAGAAAGGAATGTTAATGGTGCCAGTTCTTGGAGCAGAGCAGCTCCTCGATCAATTCTGTTGATTTGCAGAGACAATTTTGTTGAAATGTTCCTCGGGGAATACGTGAACAATAAGATGGCACTCAGAGTTTTATTCCTTCGTGTTTTCGGAGCATCGGGTTGCTTGTCGTAAGATCGTTGTTGGTTTGTTTTCTTTCAATTGTTCTTTTAATTTATGTCACAATCATCGTTATAAGATTAGATGTAATCCCCAGATCCTTTATAACGGCTACCTGTACCAGTCAGAAATCGGGTAACTATCTATCCTCTGACAATATATTAAAGACAGGGCTGATCACTTGTACTTAAAACTATTACAGCCTTGGTTGGCATAGCTTTTTTTGGAGTCCATATATGCAGATTTCAGGCAATTCCATATGAAATCGTTAAATAGTATATTTTCTCAAATTCTCTTCAAAATTTCCGAATAAGTTTGAAAATTCCCAATAATAGTTTCCACTATTTTACCAATTCCAAAACCATAAGCACCATTACGAAAATAGCAAAGAAAAACAACTGGTGCATCTTAATTATATACGGTGATTTAAGCTATGGTTGGTTCATGAACGTTTCTTGATTCTGAGGTCTTGATTGATAATTTAGATATCAGGAAAGGGTGTAGCAGGGAATTGTAGGATGGAAAGGTCAAGATTGTTTGGGAGTAAAATTTATTTACTTATCCTTGCACTACTGTGGTATTTCGGTGGGGTGTATGATATTATTGACAGGAATATGCCAAGGATTTCAGAATAGCTGAGTGGGCAGAAATTATATCCGGGTACACAGTGCTTGTCTAAGCCTATTAACACAATTATAAAATACTATTTCTGATCGCTTTTGTCAATCTATAAAAATAGCCAACAACATGGTAATGTGTACACACGTCTATTATATCCAAATTTGTAATGGATACAAGTTTTGGTCAATAACTAGGTCTGCTGATTACTTGTAAGGAGAGACCAAAACTTGATGAAGCCTATCTTCTGCTCCAGGTCTTTGGGTTCAAAGTTCTTGGTCGAGATGGATGGCTTCCAAACCCCAACCATATTGTTTGTGATCTGCTCGGCTTTCATGCTGCTGCTTTTAAGTGCGTAACCTTCCGGTCTGCCTTATCTAACAAGGCTGGTTCATGTGATACAGGTGCACCGCTGCACACCAGATAGTCGAGTTTCTTAGGTGTGTAATGTTTCAGTTGTAACCATGTGGTATGAATGACTTTGAGGCGGGTAAGTTAGCCATAACGTCAAGGCTCAGATTATTTACCTCAGACTTGCGGTGAGTTGGTTCAGGATGTGTTGGCATATACCTGTATGAAAATACAAGTGCAAGCAGTGTTTGATAACAGCCAACTGCCACCAAAAAATAATAAAGATGAAAAGCTGGATATATATATAGAGCAGGATCCGGAAGTAGGTCAAACAGAGTCCAGGCTGGTTTTCGTTGGCTGGTTCAAACACTTAGTGTCGACATTGTATGAAGGAGGTAGTAACCAAATTCACCTGAAAATTTCTCGATTTTTTTTTTGGCATATTTATATACATATGGAAACATTTTGACTCCTTTCTTCATGAAAAATATTACTTCACTGATCTGCCGATATAATCTTCAGTGTTTTGACCAAAGACTTTGTGCCCTTGAGCGTTTACATTACTACAAAATACAAGCCAGTGATCTAGCATCATTTTCTGATTCAATATAAGGCCAATTGTCTCTAAAGTTATCGATTTGTTCTTTGAAAGATTGCATAAATGTTTCAAATTCAACTGAACCAAAACCAGATCGTTTTTCATTATCGCTCACTTGATTGTCCAGTAGATCTTGTCCAGTAGATCTGTCTGTTCAAAATCTGAAATGTTGATATCAGTTCCATTATGTATCTATATCGATTGATCTGTTGTTTTTTCGATGATCACGTTGTCGGTCGCAAATGTCGCGACAACTTGGTAACCCTAAACAAGTGCCTCTGGTTTCAGCTGGTTTTAACGGACACAGCATGTTTTAACAGACACAGCATGAAAAGGATCTATTTTTGCGTTTTTGTAAGCACACAGTGTGCTGATTAGGTTGAATATGGTATTTGCTAATGACAATACTGGGATAATAGACTGTATTAAAGGTTATATCGGAGTTTGTGTTTACCTGTTTCATATTATTACACAGATGAAATTTTAGCGATCATGTACTTACTGTATTTATCCTGCAATAAGCCGGGGTTTCCACAAAGCAGGGGTGTTGGCTTAATAATTACAAAAGACACTGAATTAGCATTCATTGTCATTTTTCAAAAACTGCAATTTATGTTGGGTGGGCAGCCCTATTACGAGGCTTGGATAAATGTGGTATATATGCCCCTAGCATTTATCTGGAAGTTTGTTCATGCAGTATGTCTCAATAATTAGATGGTTATGATATCGGTTATTATGATATCGGTTATTATGATATTTTTCCCATATGCTGATTTTTTCCTTCTTTAACTAAGCAAAAAAATATCGTTTATTATGATATGGTCAAAGGTAGGACCCTGCTTATTATGATATATATTTTCTGCCATGAATGGATTTTATAAGGTAAAAACTCAGGTAAGTTAATTGTCCGTGTGAAACACCTGAACAATTACGCAATAGGTCCAAGAATGCAAGTTGAAGATGACTTGGATAACAAGCTTTCCATTTTTTGCGATGATTTAATGGATGCATAGCCATAAACCTTAATTATTGTCAGCTCTTGTGATTTATCGATTTTCCCAGTATTTTCTTCAAACAGTGTCCAAGCTTTCTGTCAGAATATTCACTATTGTCATCTTAGTAACGAGATCAGAACCAATTCAATATTTATTTTTGTCTCTGTCGCTCGAGGTTGTGACCGACAATCCCAGATTCCTTCAATGAAGCCCAAGAAACTACGCACTAAAACCAATCATAAAAAGAAGCAGACGCAAATTATGGTCATAGATAGAATTTTATTTTTAAAGTTGCACCGAGGAAATGTGTTCTTTTCCTTTCATATTTTGTAAAGCAATATTTTGACCTTGTTTGGGAATAAAGTATTATATGATGAACTTGTATTTTAAACAAAATGCAACAAAAATATTTGCTGTTTTAACTAAAAAAAATATTTTGATCATGAAGTTGTTTACACTAACAAACCAAATAGATTGTGAGAGCTATAGGCAGAAAGCATATAGAATATAATTAGTCACAGGCATTGACGTTACATACAAACACCGGTATGTATATTCATTGAGTGCCCCCCAGTGCCTATGATTGGGGAAAGTCTAATTAAAGCCCAGCATTGTAGACAGACAGACCTGCCATTTCTGATATGCCGCCTGTATACAGAAGCCAGTACTGTAGCACTCTAGGCTGAAAACTGCCTCCAAGCTGGCAACTTGCCAATACACCAAGTAACATGACCTCTGTTGTACATCAACATGGAAAGAATATAGATCAAGTGTACAGGTATAGGCCAGCCCAAGTCTGTAATTACATAGGAGGCACAGCTCTGATTATCTGGGATAGTCCATTCACTGTTTGACTAGAGGGTCGGTAAGCTTGTGAACTGGAGCTGACACCTACACAGCTTTAATGTGTGGCAATAACGTTTTTTCAGTTTATAGACTGTTTCAATAATGTAGTCAAGCCTATGGAAAGTATAGTCGGTTTCATTAATGTTGAGACAGAATGGAATTTTCCACTGCGGTTATAGTCTGTTTCAGTTTTCACTCTCTCTGATAGCTGCAGGCATTGTGGGCTTCTCCCATCTTGTGGTTTCAATGGTGGGTTTTTTTAGGGAGAAGGGAAAAAAAGTATGAGTCATGCTGAAAAGAGATTGACTTTGCAAAAGCTCTCTTAAGAATAAGATCCGGTTTGGGTATTTAACCTACATTGTTTCATGTTTCACTGCTGTTAAATATAGCGTGGGTTTATAGTTTATTGATTTTCATGCAAATAGCTGTGGTGGTTACCATTCACATCGTTTAACTTGAAACCAATAACAGTTTACTGGTAGTAGTCAGTATGTTTTTAGCATTAGCGTGTAAAATGTCTCCTCCAGAGAATATCTACTAAGATTTACTGGACTGATCACACCAGTTAGTTTAGTTATAGATCCGGGTCACAGGTTCAAGTGTAGGGGAATGGAACTCTCGTAACTAGAATGTTTCTGAGAAAAAGTACAAATAGAACGATGATGCATGGAGATTAGAATTAAATGCATAAAAACATTAAAAGAAACATTGCACTTTGTTACTCATGAGGATAGTGTGTATTGATCATCTGCTGTAGTGTTGTGACTCCACTGCTTTGAATATGAAATATCATTCATGAAATATATTAGATAAAGTATTGCCCTTTGTTTCACATGAGAACATCATGATAAAAAGAAAATTCATCAGATAATTTGCTTCAGTATTTATTGTCTGCCCACTGCTTTGAATAAAAGATACCTTTAAAAAAATAGTAATATTTATTAAATGTCTTAGGTTATGTATGTTATATTTGAACAACACACAAACATTATTGAAAATATTCAGTGTCGTCAATTTTCACCATCAAAAATATAGTTTTTCACATTTTTCAGCCAATCAAATAATGTTTTCCCTCGTTTTTTTTGCAGCCAATCACACAGAGACGATGGAAGTTGATGGCACGTTAGAAATCCCAGGCAGCAAAGCCACTGTGCTACGTGGCCATGAGTCCGAGGTGTTCATTTGTGCTTGGAATCCTGCTAATGATCTGTTAGCATCTGGGTAGGTGATTTTGACATCTGTAAATTGCCATAGAACTAGAGCAAAACCCAGCTGCAGGTGGTTGTTTAGCAAATTGGTGAAATTGCTGAGCATTGATTTGGGGTAGTCGACCACACTTATTTTTAACTGTTGAAAGCATTCAGAAACATTCAAAATTTATTTAAATTGATGATACTTGTTATGAATGAAAAATGTCAATTATTGAGTTGATTAAAGTAAAACATTAATGAAGGGTTTCAGAAAGTTTGGCATTTTGTTTATCATATGTAACTGTTAAACCAGCAACTCTATATCTCAATGGATCTTTATCAATCTTTATACAAAAGTCAAACATGAGAATTCCTGGGATTTGTTGGTATTGCAGATTCCAAGGTCAAGGCCAAGCTAGGTCACTCAGTGTTTATGGAAATTGATCAAACGATGATTCTAATTTGCATGGAAGTGAGGACTTGCAGACATTTTCTAGTACTATTAAACTTTGTTGTTGTAATGTAAGCTACGTATCAAAGTTTTACTTTCTACACAAATAATGTATGAATTAAACACGTCGCAACGTGTCCAGACCGACTGGTATGACTGAGTGAGCGATTTGTATTTTTATACGCCCGTCAAATTTGACGGGAGTATTATGGTATGGGTTTGTCCGGTCGGCGTAAACTTTTTGTTTGTCTGGCAATCTCCTCCTACATTTTTCAACCGATCCCTTTGAAACTTGGTATACATTATAATCATGATATGAAGTTGTGTCTACCTTAAAAGAATTTTGATTCGACAATTTTTGAAAAAGTAATTGCCCTTTGTTTATTTCAGTATTTGATTTTTGTCCGGCAATCTCCTCCTACATTTTTCAACGGATCTCTTTGAAACTTGGTATACATTATAAACATGATATGAAGTTGTGTCTCCCCTAAAAGAATTTTGATTCAACGCTTTTGCAAAAGTTATTGCCATTTATTCATTTCTGTATTTTATTTTTTGTCCGGAGATTTTCTCCTAATTTTTTTATAGCATGTCAGCTAACCACTCGTAGAATGATGCAGATCTTATTTAATGTAAGAAAGTATATAACACTATATGGCATTTGACGGCGATACTCTTGTTTACCTATACAAAGATGTGACTAAATTGGGTATTTTTTATGTCACTCGACCCAGGTCGTTTCGCCTATCAATAGGGAACAGTGGATTGGGCTAAATCTACACCCTACCTGTAACCTATCTGATGCAGGGTGTATACGCTCCCTATCGATTGACGAAACATCACAGGTTGAGTGACATAAAAAAAAATACAATTTCGTCACATCCTTGTACAGGTAAATATTACAAATCGCCTGCTCAGTCGTAACTTGACAAAGGGACCAGTTGGTCTAGTAACGTTGCGACATGTTTAATACGTACATTGTTTGTGTAGAAAGTAAAACTTTGATATCACATATTTCCAAACTGATGAATCTTATTGAAAATCGAGCTACATATTCTTCCGCTGCTAACAAAAGTTGCTCGATTACCGAATCCCCACTGTAGAGAAAATATGTTGGATATCAATCAGTATAGTGACATTGTGTTACACCCATGCATGGTGTTAACAGAAACCACTTAGGTTCTTTAAGCAATTTTAACCCATACGTGCTGATTATTTTAAATTTCCTGGAGGAGATTACGTGTTTCCTCAGAATTAAAAGCATGAATGACATGTGTGTATGTACACCCTAAGATTTTTTTTTTTATTCATAAAAATAAAAATTCGTCTTGAGAGCTGTTCTTTCAGGTGAAATCATCAGACCTTAAATAGGAATAGGTTAACAAATTCACTGGTTGAAAATGTCTAAAATCCAGACTCTCCCACAGAAACAGGGAGAGTTTGCAAGTTTGAGAGCTTATGAAAATAGTATTCTCACTACTCCAGTTTGTTGTGACTCATTCTGTCGTCTGTTTCCCTGTCCAGGTCTGGTGATTCCACGGCGCGGATCTGGAACATGAACGACAACAGTAACAGTGCTAACCAGTTGGTGCTGCGTCACTGTATCCAGAAGGGGGGCACAGAGGTCCCCAGCAACAAAGACGTCACATCACTCGACTGGAACGTAAGTTCAGGAGAAGGTCAACCTGCTAAATCCAACTCGCCTCAGTTATAACTTTAACTCAAATGAATGAAATATCCACTGTATTTACATTTCCACTGCAAGTTCCTCTGTAAGCATTACCAGAAGAAATGGCCTTCATAGAGCTGTAAACGCAGTTTGATCAGCATCATTTTGAAACTTCTCCTTCCTCCTCAAATAACATGAGACAACTGTTAGAAGCAAGCGTTTTGGTGATGTTGGTCTGTTCCAGGAATCTGGTTTACACTGAAGACACCGGCACTTCAGTATCGAAAGTATAAGGAAAAATCTATATTTGGGTCAATAATGACTAAAACATTACAATGTAAATATCAGGATGAGACGACATTTATTAGTGTTAATGCTGGTATGAATGCAAATTGGTTACATAGGTATTTACTATGAAGCCCTAGTGAGCTTGTGGAATAGGTATGTAAGGTATTTACTATGAAGCCCGAGCGAGGTGGAATAGGTATGTAAGGTATTTACTATGAAGCCCTAGTGAGCTTCGTGGAATAGGTATGTAAGGTATTTACTATTTAGCCCTAGCGAGGTGGAATAGGTATGTAAGGTATTTACTATGAAGCCCTAGCGACGTGGAATAGGTATGTAAGTGATTTGTGTTTTAACCAGCATGAAATTGAAAAACATGCCGTTCAATCATCTCAAATAACCTTGTTACAATGTATAATTCCTTCTCTAAAGAGGAAAACACCCAAGCGACTAGAGCTGTCCCGATACACTTCATTTGTGATTTGAGACATACATGTGTCTGGATAATAGTGACTGTGTCATACTTACATTATTTTGTATTCAAGTTTTGTTTTATACCATAAATATAATGATATCTAAGCTTTCAACACTTTTATTTAAAAGTAAGTCAGGATTTGAAGATCCTGGTCTATCCTGTTACCTTGATCAAGTTTGGTAAACCTTGCGTCTTTATAAAAGTTGAAAATTAACTATTGTATGTATTTAAGAACTGGTTTATATCAAAATGAATTTAATAACATTATAAAGCATATATAAATGTATATAAAGAGATGTTTTCCTTTTCAGTGTGAAGGCACTTTGCTGGCTACAGGATCTTATGATGGCTACGCCAGAATATGGAGCACAGACGGTAAGCACAAACCAAAACAAATATCTTTTGAATAAGGAAGAAATCAGTAATTGTGGAATCAAAACAAGATAATTTTACATCTATTCCATTGCTAAGAGACCATAGCCCGTATTCAAGAAGCCATTCTCGTGCTCAAGTGTGGATTTTATGCTCAAGGCTATTTTCTAGTTCTGGTTAAAAAATAATAAAAATTCATATTTTGTCAATGATTCGGAAAAAATTGAAGAGAACTGGAGCCGAATACTGTTTTCAATATTGACATTTGACTAAATTATCATTTGACATGATTTAAGCAAGTAACAGGAATACTGGTTTGAGCACAGAATCCATGCTTGAGCATGAGAACAGTGTCATGAATACGGGGCCCCATAGGAAGAGGACAATCGAGCAGTTTTGTCAGCATGACATGCTGACAGTGACATTCTAAGCCTTCCATACATAAAATGTATCAAGCTGACGGCAAAACAGTAGTCTGTCACAAACTGTACATTACCTGGTGAGAAACGCCTGATGCCAGCTCTTCTTCATAACACTGATAATTAGGCCATGACTTCTTGCTTAATACAAGGGAGATAATTGAGGTCACAGGATGCAAAAATAGAGAAGTCATAAAATTATGTGAATGTTACAAAATTAAGACAATGTTGTGTTGTGTTGTGTCAGATTACCTGGAAATGGCTTCCTCACAACAGGACATAATTAATTCATAACCCAATTTACTGTTTTGATAATGTCCTGCCATAAAGGTGTGAAGTGTTATGTGTGGAAAATTTGGTGTCTGAAAATTTTAATCTGGGGACACAAATTTTGCACGAGGAAATCAAGTGGCTAGACAAAAAATGTCCCCTGTTCGAGTCATGTAAAACAGGAATAGAGGTATTGGTCATTTATCTGGGATTTTATTCCAGGTGTTTTTTTCGTATTTACAGTATCTTGGTCTCATGTTTCCTGTGTATATCTCATTCAGTAGCATTAACAGTAGGAGTAATATTTACGTTTTATAAAGGAACACAAGTAGCCCAAAGGCTAAGAGTTGCTCTCTTAACATATTACTTTTATATATTTTTTAGGTCGGTTGGTGAACACACTAGGACAGCATAAAGGTCCAATATTTGCTCTAAAATGGAATAAGAGAGGGAACTACATCCTTAGTGCTGGGGTGGATAAGGTAAACATCCACGCACTGACCTCGCACTGTAACCGTTACATGACCTGTCACTGTGACCTTCACCATGACCTATCACAGACCTTTACGTGACCTATACTACACCTGTCACTGTGACCTTTACATGACCTGTCACTGTGACCTTTACATGACCTGTCACCGTGACCTTTACCATGACCTATCACTGCAACTGTTACATGACCTGACTATCTTTTATTTTCTAGCGCCTTACTTGGCTATACCTCACTTTTGACTCTAATATTGAACATTCACCTTGGTGCAAATACAAAAAGAGTCATTTTTTATTCATCTTCCATTTCTTAAAAATAAATTCTAAATCAACGAGATTTATCCTGTCTATTTAACCAACTTTGCTGACTTTGCCTATACGATTGATGTGGCATATGACCACATGGTATTGAGTTTCACTTTCAATTGTCCAATAATCATAGCTATAACGTATGCATGAATATATTCTTGATCATTACTTATGTTGTATTGTTACAAACTATCGTTATGGTTATCCTCGCTGTTCTGATCTTTGAAAATGCACCGTCAAATACTATATTAAGAAGCTTTCCCTGTAAGCGTGACGGAATATCAGGGTGCGTTTGAATGACGCTTGCCTATTTCCTCTTGATTGCTCAGCTTAGATTCAGTGTTCAAAGCAATTCATTTGCGGGGCATTTTTTGTAAATGCAAATATTTCAGAAAAAAAGTTGATGTATATATATATGGGGTTGGCACATTCTGAGCTTAGATAATGGAATTTGTTTTGTTTTTTCAGACTACTATTATCTGGGACGCAAGTTCAGGGAATTGTACACAACAGTTTTCATTTCATTCTGGTAAGCATTTATTTAGTCTCACTTTTTCATAATAATTTTAAGATAGGAAATTTAAGTCTAATTTTCATATACATGCTGTAAAACAGTTAAAAGATTGAAAAAAATGAAGAACTGCATCCTTTTTGTAAGCTATTTTGCGTAACTGTAACAATTATTTTAAAACACCACCAGCGCGAGCACTGTTGGTGCTAATGTTCATTATGAGGTCTCAACAAAGGATCCTTACTTTTTGGACTGATTCAAAATTGTAAATGGCTGCACAGGGCTCTGACTGGCTGAGTTATTTTCTAATTATTCTCATGAACTGATACAGCTATCAACTGCAACCTTCAAACAAATGTGCTTTATCATATCGCGGCTAAGATTCTTAGTTGTACCTATCTGCAGTCCAAAACGGCCATCCTAAACCAAACTAGGCCAGCCAACCATGCTCTGGTCAAGCATTGTAAATTTGCAGAAGACTCCCCATTTCGTCAGGGTATAAAACCCTAACTAATTAACTGCAGCATTTAGAATATTCCCAGATGACCGTTTAGGCCCCAGGGTTTCTTGTTATAGATTCTGGTTGTTAAGCCATTACATTTCATGCTGACAGGAGTACACACTATTAATTTCAGCCCCTGCGCTGGACGTAGATTGGCAGACAAATGCAACTTTCGCGTCCTGTTCCACTGACCAGTGTATACATGTGTGTCGATTAGGGGTTGACCGGCCCATCAAAACATTCCAAGGCCATACGGTAAGGAAGTGTATACTGCACACATTTATCCATTAATTACTACGACTCGACTTGGGTTTTCCTTGTGAAATCCGTCTGCTGGGTGACACAGAATTCTTTGCTTGGATGAAAAATCTCCCCCTCCCTGTATTTATCAATTAAGGTTTCAACATTTCAGTTTCCACAAGATAAATTGATTAAATATTGTTTGCTTCAGATGAAACATGGTAAGCATATTCAATTTAAAAGAATAAGCTAATCTTGAAGTTAAGCAAAATCTTTGCATGATTAATTTTAGCAAATGCTCTCTGATAGGAGGATCCAAATGTCTTTAGACGGATGTTTGTTGCTTCTGGTATTTATGTTTTTCTAATTTCATGGGATTTTCATATTACAGAATGAAGTGAATGCCATAAAGTGGGATCCGCAAGGCCAGCTTTTAGCATCATGCTCAGACGATATGACTTTAAAGGTTTGTGTACACTACAGTTGTTGAAAAAGCTGAATTATTATCGAAAGAAATCTGTGAAAATCTTGTAATAAGGCCATGCCTGGTTATAAGCCCATCCATATGTATTGCAGTAGAAATGCCAGCAAATGCTGTTTCATTTTCCTGTTACAAGCCCACACCCAAATTTGAGTCGAGAAATACATGTTGGCCCCCTGGGGTTAAATAGAGGTTTTCATACAATTGTCAGAACTTTGACCATCGAGGTGCCGAGTCGTTTGTATTGCCAGCGTGAATACTGTGACTATGTTTACCTGTGTTTACCTATGTCTTGATGTAGAATTTGTGCTATAAAAGATCAATTATCACCCCTACATCACGGAGTCTGGGAGTTCCTTTTATCATTTATATATTCACAAGAAATGGTAAACTGTTACATGATTTGACTAAAATAAATACCAGTCATAGATTGCCATATTTGATGGCAGCTAAGTGCAAGTCTTGGCAGCTAACAGCTTGTTTAAGTCAAGGGTATCAAAAATATTCTCTTTGTGTGTGCACATGTCCTTCCGTGCTGATTGTGGTTTCCAGAGCAAGCATCAATCTTGGGAGGCAGTGTATTGCATCCTAAAAATAGATCACTGTGACCTCGTTTTGACCTTTGACTTTGACCTCAGGTACTAAAATATATCAATACTGTTTCATAAATAGGCTTCAAACTTTGAAGAAATGTGAGGATCAGGAAATGGAAAAGAAAAATAGCACGCAATAAAGAGAGAGAGAGAAAGAAAGAGTGATAGATTGAAAGAGTAAGAAAGAGAGAGAAGAGCAAAAAAAAGTGTACAGACTTAAAAATTTAGGTGGCAAATCACTGAATATAGCGGAAGTATGTTGTAAGATGATTAGGATCTACTTGGTTGTATAGTTTAAACGTTGTTGAGTATTGTAGAAGGTGTTGTGAATGGATGAGATAGATATATAAATGTTCTGTCTTTCTCTGTAACAGATATGGGATATGTATATGTGTATGGATGAGATAGATATATAAATGTTCTGTCTTTCTCTGTAACAGATATGGGATATGTATATGTGAATGGATGAGATAGATATATAAATGTTCTGTCTTTCTCTGTAACAGATATGGGATATGTATATGTGAATGGATGAGATAGATATATAAATGTTCTGTCTTTCTCTGTAACAGATATGGGATATGTATATGTGAATGGATGAGATAGATATATAAATGTTCTGTCTTTCTCTGTAACAGATATGGGATATGTATATGTGAATGGATGAGATAGATATATAAATGTTCTGTCTTTCTCTGTAACAGATATGGGATATGTATATGTGAATGGATGAGATAGATATATAAATGTTCTGTCTTTCTCTGTAACAGATATGGGATATGTATATGTGAATGGATGAGATAGATATATAAATGTTCTGTCTTTCTCTGTAACAGATATGGGATATGTATATGTGAATGGATGAGATAGATATATAAATGTTCTGTCTTTCTCTGTAACAGATATGGGATATGTATATGTGAATGGATGAGATAGATATATAAATGTTCTGTCTTTCTCTGTAACAGATATGGGATATGTATATGTGAATGGATGAGATAGATATATAAATGTTCTGTCTTTCTCTGTAACAGATATGGGATATGTATATGTGAATGGATGAGATAGATATATAAATGTTCTGTCTTTCTCTGTAACAGATATGGGATATGTATATGTGAATGGATGAGATAGATATATAAATGTTCTGTCTTTCTCTGTAACAGATATGGGATATGTATATGTGAATGGATGAGATAGATATATAAATGTTCTGTCTTTCTCTGTAACAGATATGGGATATGTATATGTGAATGGATGAGATAGATATATAAATGTTCTGTCTTTCTCTGTAACAGATATGGGATATGTATATGTGAATGGATGAGATAGATATATAAATGTTCTGTCTTTCTCTGTAACAGATATGGGATATGTATATGTGAATGGATGAGATAGATATATAAATGTTCTGTCTTTCTCTGTAACAGATATGGGATATGTATATGTGAATGGATGAGATAGATATATAAATGTTCTGTCTTTCTCTGTAACAGATATGGGATATGTATATGTGAATGGATGAGATAGATATATAAATGTTCTGTCTTTCTCTGTAACAGATATGGGATATGTATATGTGAATGGATGAGATAGATATATAAATGTTCTGTCTTTCTCTGTAACAGATATGGGATATGTATATGTGAATGGATGAGATAGATATATAAATGTTCTGTCTTTCTCTGTAACAGATATGGGATATGTATATGTGAATGGATGAGATAGATATATAAATGTTCTGTCTTTCTCTGTAACAGATATGGGATATGTATATGTGAATGGATGAGATAGATATATAAATGTTCTGTCTTTCTCTGTAACAGATATGGGATATGTATATGTGAATGGATGAGATAGATATATAAATGTTCTGTCTTTCTCTGTAACAGATATGGGATATGTATATGTGAATGGATGAGATAGATATATAAATGTTCTGTCTTTCTCTGTAACAGATATGGGATATGTATATGTGAATGGATGAGATAGATATATAAATGTTCTGTCTTTCTCTGTAACAGATATGGGATATGTATATGTGAATGGATGAGATAGATATATAAATGTTCTGTCTTTCTCTGTAACAGATATGGGATATGTATATGTGAATGGATGAGATAGATATATAAATGTTCTGTCTTTCTCTGTAACAGATATGGGATATGTATATGTGAATGGATGAGATAGATATATAAATGTTCTGTCTTTCTCTGTAACAGATATGGGATATGTATATGTGAATGGATGAGATAGATATATAAATGTTCTGTCTTTCTCTGTAACAGATATGGGATATGTATATGTGAATGGATGAGATAGATATATAAATGTTCTGTCTTTCTCTGTAACAGATATGGGATATGTATATGTGAATGGATGAGATAGATATATAAATGTTCTGTCTTTCTCTGTAACAGATATGGGATATGTATATGTGAATGGATGAGATAGATATATAAATGTTCTGTCTTTCTCTGTAACAGATATGGGATATGTATATGTGAATGGATGAGATAGATATATAAATGTTCTGTCTTTCTCTGTAACAGATATGGGATATGTATATGTGAATGGATGAGATAGATATATAAATGTTCTGTCTTTCTCTGTAACAGATATGGGATATGTATATGTGAATGGATGAGATAGATATATAAATGTTCTGTCTTTCTCTGTAACAGATATGGGATATGTATATGTGAATGGATGAGATAGATATATAAATGTTCTGTCTTTCTCTGTAACAGATATGGGATATGTATATGTGAATGGATGAGATAGATATATAAATGTTCTGTCTTTCTCTGTAACAGATATGGGATATGTATATGTGAATGGATGAGATAGATATATAAATGTTCTGTCTTTCTCTGTAACAGATATGGGATATGTATATGTGAATGGATGAGATAGATATATAAATGTTCTGTCTTTCTCTGTAACAGATATGGGATATGTATATGTGAATGGATGAGATAGATATATAAATGTTCTGTCTTTCTCTGTAACAGATATGGGATATGTATATGTGAATGGATGAGATAGATATATAAATGTTCTGTCTTTCTCTGTAACAGATATGGGATATGTATATGTGAATGGATGAGATAGATATATAAATGTTCTGTCTTTCTCTGTAACAGATATGGGATATGTATATGTGAATGGATGAGATAGATATATAAATGTTCTGTCTTTCTCTGTAACAGATATGGGATATGTATATGTGAATGGATGAGATAGATATATAAATGTTCTGTCTTTCTCTGTAACAGATATGGGATATGTATATGTGAATGGATGAGATAGATATATAAATGTTCTGTCTTTCTCTGTAACAGATATGGGATATGTATATGTGAATGGATGAGATAGATATATAAATGTTCTGTCTTTCTCTGTAACAGATATGGGATATGTATATGTGAATGGATGAGATAGATATATAAATGTTCTGTCTTTCTCTGTAACAGATATGGGATATGTATATGTGAATGGATGAGATAGATATATAAATGTTCTGTCTTTCTCTGTAACAGATATGGGATATGTATATGTGAATGGATGAGATAGATATATAAATGTTCTGTCTTTCTCTGTAACAGATATGGGATATGTATATGTGAATGGATGAGATAGATATATAAATGTTCTGTCTTTCTCTGTAACAGATATGGGATATGTATATGTGAATGGATGAGATAGATATATAAATGTTCTGTCTTTCTCTGTAACAGATATGGGATATGTATATGTGAATGGATGAGATAGATATATAAATGTTCTGTCTTTCTCTGTAACAGATATGGGATATGTATATGTGAATGGATGAGATAGATATATAAATGTTCTGTCTTTCTCTGTAACAGATATGGGATATGTATATGTGAATGGATGAGATAGATATATAAATGTTCTGTCTTTCTCTGTAACAGATATGGGATATGTATATGTGAATGGATGAGATAGATATATAAATGTTCTGTCTTTCTCTGTAACAGATATGGGATATGTATATGTGAATGGATGAGATAGATATATAAATGTTCTGTCTTTCTCTGTAACAGATATGGGATATGTATATGTGAATGGATGAGATAGATATATAAATGTTCTGTCTTTCTCTGTAACAGATATGGGATATGTATATGTGAATGGATGAGATAGATATATAAATGTTCTGTCTTTCTCTGTAACAGATATGGGATATGTATATGTGAATGGATGAGATAGATATATAAATGTTCTGTCTTTCTCTGTAACAGATATGGGATATGTATATGTGAATGGATGAGATAGATATATAAATGTTCTGTCTTTCTCTGTAACAGATATGGGATATGTATATGTGAATGGATGAGATAGATATATAAATGTTCTGTCTTTCTCTGTAACAGATATGGGATATGTATATGTGAATGGATGAGATAGATATATAAATGTTCTGTCTTTCTCTGTAACAGATATGGGATATGTATATGTGAATGGATGAGATAGATATATAAATGTTCTGTCTTTCTCTGTAACAGATATGGGATATGTATATGTGAATGGATGAGATAGATATATAAATGTTCTGTCTTTCTCTGTAACAGATATGGGATATGTATATGTGAATGGATGAGATAGATATATAAATGTTCTGTCTTTCTCTGTAACAGATATGGGATATGTATATGTGAATGGATGAGATAGATATATAAATGTTCTGTCTTTCTCTGTAACAGATATGGGATATGTATATGTGAATGGATGAGATAGATATATAAATGTTCTGTCTTTCTCTGTAACAGATATGGGATATGTATATGTGAATGGATGAGATAGATATATAAATGTTCTGTCTTTCTCTGTAACAGATATGGGATATGTATATGTGTATGGATGAGATAGATATATAAATGTTCTGTTTTTCTCTGTAACAGATATGGGATATGCAGCATAACAATTGTGTCCATGATTTACAAGCTCACAACAAAGAAATCTACACAATCAAATGGAGTCCCACTGGGCCGGGAACCAACAATCCAAATGTTCCACTGATTTTGTCAAGGTAGGTAGTCTAGTCACTCTAGTAGAAGGGAGGTAATTCAGTATGTATGGTGCTCTTGTCTGATCAGGATGCCTACCCCAACCCACCTGTACCCAGCTACTGTATACCAGGAAATTTTCACTGCACCCAGCTACTGTATACCAGGTAATGTTCACTGTACCTAGCTACTGTATACCAGGAAATGTTCACTGCACCAGCTACTGTATACCAGGAAATTTTCACTGCACCCAGCTACTGTATACCAGGAATTGTTCACTGTACCCAGCTACTGTATACCAGGAAATGTTCACTGTACCTAGCTTCTGTATACCAGGAAATGTTCACTGTACCCAGCTACAGTATACCAGGAAATGTTCACTGTACCCAGCTACTGTATACCAGGAAATGTTCACTGTGCCCAGCTACTGTATACCAGGTAATGTTCACTGTACCAAGCTACTGTATACCAGGAAATGTTTACTGTACCCAGCTACTGTATACCAGGGAATGTTCACTGTACCCAGCTACTGTACACAGGAAATGTTTACTGTACCCAGCTACTGTACACCAGGAAATGTGCACTGTACCCAGCTACTGTATAACAGGAAATGTTCACTGTACCCAGCTACCTTACACCAGGAAATGTTCACTGTACCCAGCTACTGTATACCAGGAAATGTTCACTGTACCCAAATTCTGTACACCAGGAAATGTTCACTGTACCTAGCTACTGTATACCAGGAAATGTTCACTGTACCTAGCTACTATATACCAGGAAATGTTCACTGTACCCAGCTACTGTATACCAGGAAATGTTCACTGTACCCAAATTCTGTACACCAGGAAATGTTCACTGTACCTAGCTACTGTATACCAGGAAGTGTTCACTGTACCCAGCTACTGTATACCAGGAAGTGTTCACTGTACCCAGCTACTGTATACCAGGTAATGTTCACTGTACCCAGCTACTGGTTACCAGGAAATGTTCACTGTACCTAGCTTCTGTACACCAGGAAATGTTCACTGTACCTAGCTACTGTATACCAGGAAATGTTCACTGTACCTAGCTACTGTATACCAGGAAGTGTTCACTGTACCCAGCTACGGTATACCAGGTAATGTTCAGTGTACCCAGCTACTGTATACCAGGAAATGTTCACTGTACCCAGCTACTGTACACCAGGAAATGTTCATTGTACCTAGCTACTGTATACCAGGAAATGCTCACTGTACCTAGCTACTGTATACCAGGAAATGTTCACTGTACCCAGCTGCTGTATACCAGGAAATGTTCACTGTACCTAGCTACTGTATACCAGGTAATGTTCACTGTACCCAGCTACTGTATACCAGGAAATGATCACTGTACCCAGCTGCTGTATACCAGGAAATGTTCACTGTACCCAGCTACTGTACACCAGGAAATGTTCACTGTACCCAGCTGCTGTATACCAGGAAATGTTCACTGTACCCAGCTACTGTATACCAGGGAATGTTCACTGTACCCAGCTACTGTATACCAGGGAATGTTCACTGTACCTAGCTACTGTATACCAGGAAATGTTCACTGTACCCAGCTACTGTATAACAGGTAATGTTCACTGTACCCAGCTACTGTATACCAGGAAATGTTCACTGTACCTAGCTTCTGTATACCAGGAAATGTTCACTGTACCCAGCTACCTTACACCAGGAAATGAGTTTATTTTTTGCCTTTTTCACCCACAAATGAGGACGACTTTATCATTGCTAAACATTAGTTTACAATATACAATGTAATTAAATGTGAAAAGCGAAATTTAAACTTGACAAATATGGATTTTACTGACAAAGGGCACAAGTTTGACTTGACAGAAATTTACACGTACAGTGTATGCAGTATTTGTAACATTTTTTAAAAGTGATTCTTGCATTTTGATTTCTAATCAACCAATGTGTTAACCTATAAATGAGTGTCATGAATTAACCTATAAATGAGTGTCATGTGTTAACCTATAGATGAGTGTCATGTGTTAACCTATAAATGAGTGTCATGTGTTAACCTATAAATGGGTGTCATGTGTTAACCTATTGATGAGTGTGTTGCCTGTTTTCTGTTGCAGTGCGTCGTTTGATTCCACCGTGCGCCTTTGGGATGTGCAGCAGGGTACGTGTATCCACACACTGACCAAGCACCAGGAACCTGTGTACAGTGTAGCGTTTAGCCCCGATGGCAAGTTCTTAGCCAGTGGCTCCTTCGACAAGTGTGTTCATATATGGAATGTACAGGTAACTCATCGTCTGAACTCATTAAACACAGACATGAAATCACAATAAACCAGCCTTGGTTGACTGAGCTGGGCTGGTAGGTGTGATTCTGGTATCAGTGGCGTGTCGTGTTACACATCCTTTTCTTAAAATAATTCTATAGATATTACTGTATACTGGGAAATATTCACCCTATAACGATGTAATTACTCTATAGATATTACTGTATACTGGGAAACATTCACCTTATAACGATGAAATCAATGTTCGCATCATGTCGATTTTGTCCATCGCATGTAATCACTCTATATAATATGTTGTGTACTAATATTCGCTGTCATGATAAAGCTGCACTGATTGGAAAGGGCAAAAAAGGCGAAAGTGGAACCGGTTAAACTGTTGTCGTATATAGTATTCTTTTAAAGCCAGCTTTTGATGAAAGTATTAGTTAATATGTACACAGAATCAGGTACATATGGACCCCTCTACATCAGGTCTGTCATCCAGATTATGAACAAGATAACTTTAACCTATCAACTACGATAAATATTTTACATACGATAAAATCTGGTAAAAAAGTATACAGTGGTTCTAAATAAATCAACATCATGACAAATAATTAAATTTTGAATAATCATTGAGGTCAGGAAAAAATCAACGAAAAGTTCAGCTCCAGTAGCAATAAAAAAAACTTTAGCCTGACTGTTTGATTTTCTTTCTTTCAGAGTGGCGCTTTGGTACAGAGTTACCGGGGGACAGGTGGCATTTTCGAAGTGTGCTGGAATCACCGTGGGGACAAAGTGGGGGCAAGTGCCTCCGATGGATCAGTATGTATCTCCTTGCTGTCTGTAAAATTGTAGGGTTATGCAACCTGAAAAAAACTTGTGTCCTTGACTGACATTTGTATCAAATAGGTCTTTTGATCTATAGAGGTGATGGTAATCACATTTTGAATCACTAAAAATTATTACTCTGTTGCAGACAAAATACCATGAGAAAGTATTCATTGTGGAATATGTTGCTTTCTCCCTTCTATTTTTATATAATTTTGCATATTTTAAAATCAACAGACATGGATATTCGCTGTGTATTTTTATTACAAGAAATTACTTGAACTAATAAAACACAAGCTTGCTGCTTATTTTGAAAAAATAGAACTAATCAAAAAGAATCTAGCTACTAAGTATGAAAAAATATCTATTTACTCAATGAATTAGCACTTTACAGCAAATATGTATTTGTGACAGCAGGTTACAGTGTTAGGAAATATACAGCTTAGGTTGGTTGATGATGCTGATAAGGGCTGATATATGTCTGTTGATATCTGATTAAAAGAAATGGATTTAGGTTACAATTCACTACAACATCTTTTTTGTCATTTGAAATAATAGAATAGTTTGATACATGTAATATATCCAAAGGGGAGATGCTCACCATTAAGGATCCCCGTACCACTGCCAAAAACTGTCACTTAGTGTTGGGAACTGTTTTTTCCGGCATGACTATAGCTTTGATAAATTATTTCTGAAAAGAAAACCAACCATGTGAGATTTTTATTGGGGGGGGGATGGAATAAACAAAATATAATCAATAAGAGTGTTCTGAGAGTAAAATATCAGTTTGTCTAGACTGGGATTGGAGGGCTGCACTTCAGGTTGTTATACTATCGCTGTAACCGATGGAACTATATGATCAACAGAAATGTTGATTCCGTGTTACAGTTATATCCAATTGGAAGTTAAGGGGAGGCTTCTGTATAAAGGGAAAATGGCAGTGCAGTGGAACAGGGATCCTTAAGCCCTCTTTCAACTTTTGGTCAATATTTTTTGCAGTAGAGTTTATTTGCAGTTAAATCTGTATCTGATAAATGTCTATCTTCATCCAATAGGTATTTGTCTTGGACTTGCGGAAGTGAAACAGTGCTATAGTAACAAGGACATTGCTAGCTGCTACCTCGTAGTCTTTTTCAATGGAATGAAACATGGAAGAGCACGGTGGGTTTCTGAAGACGGAGAATAATTATCTGTAACGTTCTTCAATCAAACTAACGCAAATGAGACCCAGTCCAGGCCGAAGTTGTCGACTGTAAAAGACGAAGCCCACTTCCCCTGGGCCTGGTAGTGCAGCACCGTCTCGAGAGCTGTCGGCAGTTGACAACTTGTACGCAGTCTGCTCAGGCTGAAAGAGACGGAAAGCCCAACTGCAGACTGGCACATGGAATTGGTTTTACTATTCCAGCATTTGAAAGAATGTGCTTGTGCACAGAGAGATTATTTGGATTGTGAGAAAGGATAGACAAATCAACAGATATCCCTCAAGAACGAGCTTGAACAGGAAGTTTTACTGATGAGACGACCTTGGTCTACAGGTCCGGAGAAATCAAGTAAAAGATCTACTCCTTAATTCCCAGCACCAAAGAGGACACTATTGATCAGAGAGAAATATGCTCCATTATAAGCTATTTTAATCATCATGTGAAAAAATATTAAAATCTGTTGGTGATGACAGTATGTACTTTCTGTAATTTCTGAGTGACCCGATGCGGTCCAATTGTTTATCATATCTTGCATTCTCTATTTATCTGTATGTTTGAAAAGCACACTATTAAGGATGTCCAAAGATGATTTTCCCCCCTTTGTAACATTTCTTTGTTATGACTCTTTCTCATTGGGACGATTCTACAAGAATGTCCTGAACTCTTCATTGATGAGAAAGATTCTATTCTTTACATGTGGATGTCTTTTTTCATCTTTGTGGAGGAAAAAATCATTTGAATAAAAAAATTGCGCATCGGTTTCAGTCCCTTTTACAAGACTTCTTAAGGCTTTTCAAGTCTATTTGGAAACAATTTGAAATGTGAAAGAATTTTTTTCCAAATATTTCCTGAAAGGCAATACAAAATTTAGTGTAAGAGGGACAAGCTGACACACTGTTAGAGCTTTACTGTTGTTTCACTGCAGTAGATGGCAGTGACCTACATTTAGTGCTCTGTGAGGTCGAGGTCGACGCTTTCCTCCTTGTTTTTAGTTAGGTCAATTAAGAGTCGATTTGTTCTATGACAATGCTTTGTTAGTTCAATAATTCACATTTTTTGATGCCTTTTACATTAAGTGATTAGCGTGACATACTAGAAGTTTCTTATCAGAATTCAGGACGATACTGTACACTGGGAAATGTTTGCTGCAGTTAATTTTTCGCCTTTTTCACCCTTCGTAATGAGGCAAGTTTATCATTACAGCGAATATAAGTAAACAACATAATTAACATAGTAATTAACTGTGGAAGGCGAAATTAACACTGGGTGAAATTGTTTTCATGGACGAAGGGCAAAAGGTTTACTTGGCGAAAATTTCCAGTTATTCAGTTTCTCATCAAATTTGTCTTTCATCAATTTGGACCCACAACTGTAATGTAAACACAATTTTCTCCTTTAAACACATTGTTGTCTGTAGCTATAACTAAGCTGGTCCATTGACACACATTGTCGTCCGGGTGAAGCTATAACTAAGCTGGTCCATTGACACACATTGTCGTCTGGGTGAAGCTATAACTAAGCTGGTCCATTGACACACATCGTTGTCTGTAGCTATAACTAAGCTGGTCCATTGACACATTGTTGTCTTTAGCTATAACTAAGCTGGTCCATTGACACACATTGTTGTCTGTAGCTATAACTAAGCTGGTCCATTGACACACATTGTTGTCTGGGTGAAGCTATAACTAAGCTGGTCCATTGACACACATTGTTGTCTGTAGCTATAACTAAGCTGGTCCATTGACACACATTGTCGTCTGGGTGAAGCTATAACTAAGCTGAAGTTGAAGTTGAAGTAGAGATCAAATTTTGATGTTGGTGAGGATTCATGTTTAACACACTAAACTCATGTTTCATGTTCGACATGATTTCTTGCATATTTTATGATATTGCTGTAATCTGATTGGTAAATGGTTTCCAGATATTTTTATAAGGAATATTCAGATTTCAATGCCACTTGGTGATAGTAATCTAGTAGCTATTTCAAATCGACTCATTCTCAATGATGACGAGAGAAAGAATGTCAAATTTTGATGAAACAAGTTGGTGATATAAAAACAATTTTTTAGAAACTGTTCAAATCGTCTTTAGTCCAGTGTGTTGGTCCTTAAACAATTCTTGTTAAATTTTGATTTTTAGTAGCAAAAAACTAAGACAACAGTCTAATATTTTAAGGTTGAAATTTCATGAAAGGGGATTTCAAAAAAAATCATTAGCTAGCGTACAGATACTCCCCCTTTCTCTAGACACATCAGGTGACCGATCCACTAAATTTGAACTCAAGGTTTCCACAAGTTTCCAGATAGATAAAATACTACAGACAACTGAAATTATATTTCAAAGAAGATACATATTTCAAGGTGAAAAAAATTATGAACCATTTTTTTTTTAAATATATTCCACTCATAAAAATTTTCCCAGTTAAAAAATGTTACTTCAGGGAAATGTTAATTCTGCTACAACGAATGCCTTTGTATAACACTTCATGTCTGCAACTGAAATATAACAATATTACATTCAACTGATTTTAACAATTTAAGAAATATCAACTACAATATTTGAAATACTGCATTTGCTTGATAGAAAAATCTGTAGCGTACATGTTTACCTTCAAAAAGTTGTAAAGTACTTTTTTTTTTAATTGATTGTCTGATGAACCGTTTATTTTTTCTGTAAACATGCTAAAGTAAGCAGAGTACCCTAGCATCATCCATTGTAGTTCAGTGACAAAGTTACAAACTATCTCTTGATTTTAAGTGACTTGGTTATAACATATCGGTTGATTTTCAGTGACAAGCTTATCCAACTATCAGTTGATATTGATTGACTAACTTATCAAGTATCGCTTGATTTTCAGTGACTAACTTATCAAGTATCACTTTATTTTTAGTGACTAACTTATCAAGTATCTCTTGATTTTCAGTGACTGACGTATCAAGTATCGCTTGAATTTCAGTGACTGACTGATCAAGTATCACTTGCTTTTCAGTGACTAACTTATAAAGTATCACTTGATTTTGAGTGACTGACTTATCAAGAATTACTTGATTTTCAGTGACGGACTTATCAAGTATCGCTTGTTTTTCAGTGACTGACTTTTCAAGTATCGCTTGAATTTCAGTGACTGACTTATCAAGTATCGCTTGATTTTCAGTGACTACCTGGTAAGTTACCAAATATTGGTTGATGTTCAGTGATCGACTATCAGTTGATGTTTACTAAGTTACGGACTATTCGATGTCGTAATTACTTCACTGATTTGGGGTTGTTGTGTGGTGGCGCAGTGGATAATGCACTGGCATTTCACAAAGGCAGCCGGGGGTCACCTGCCCGAACACGTGGGTTTTCTCTGGGTACTCATACCCATATTTAGACCCCCAGTACGCTAACATCCGGGCCAACAAAAGTAATTGATATCAGTTTGAAATAACTTGTTTCATAATTGTTGTAAAATAAATAAAGTTATCGTCTTTCGGCTGATCTTTAGTGATTTAGCAGCGACATCATTTGAAACATAGCAGTAATAATGTAGTGCACCTAAGACGACACAAAAAATGGCTGAAATAGTTTCAGCACAAACAATATTCCGTAGAAGTTTGTAAGCTTGCAGTTTTCAATATCATAGAAAAGAAAAATCTGGATCACTGCATGCTTAAAAAGTCAAGTATGATAAAAAGAGGTTTTTATATTAAAAAAGTGCTGTATTTAATTTAACAAATCCCCCCTACCCCCTTTTTTTTTCTTCTGCTCTTATTTTTATTTTTGTTGATTTTGTGAGTGTTATATTATGTAAAATTTGACCATAACAACTTGGAGATAGATTTTGTGTAGTTTTGTCACTAAAATTTATATTGTAAGCAACTGATCTTGTTGGTCATGTGAAAAAGTGTAGACACAATGCTTCAAAGGTAAAAAGAAAATGTCAGTATTGCCAGTAATCTGTTGATGTAAATAATCTAATAGGAATCGTTTTTGTTGATTTAAATTTTTGGATGAAGCTACATGTTTGTATCTTTGGTCATCCTTTTCTCCATTTTCTAAAGTTAAAAAGTCTTTAAATTGTTTGGAATCAAAGATAGATGATCAGTTGATGTTTTTACTTTTATTTCCCTGAAGTATTTTTGAGATGCATTGAAATTTTAATCCTACGGTAAAAAGATGTGATTGAATTTTGTAATTATGTATCATTGGAAGTGTTGCCCTGGTGCGTTTGTGAGGATGTAGAATGTGTTTTCTGTAATAATTACATACTAAGAATGAAAGAAATGTGTTCACCAAAGCCATGACAAGCTAGATTATGTATGAGCTGGTTCTCCTTGCTTCATCTAAGTGCTTCTCAGAACAGACTCTCCACACAAACCCAAGTCAGGAAGTATAACAATAGGGTCTATTTGGCATCAACTTAAATTGTTCCTTAACTCATTCACCCCTGAAATTTCATAATGCACTCTTCCAACTTTTGTTTTGGAAGAGTTCAAGTGTCTTTAGGGGTAAATGAGTTTAATAATGATAATTTTTTATAAAAAAAATGAAATTTTAAGTTTTCTCTTTTATTCTTTTAAGAAGTCATATTATTATTACAGTTTTGAAACTATTGCACAAATTCATTTGGTAGTTGTAAAAAAGTGTGAGATTTTTGTGAAATTCTCTTCAATTTACTGGCCAACTAGACAGAAAACTTTTTGAAATGTGTACAGGCAATGCAACTTGGCGTGGAGAACCGTGGAGTGAATGTAGATTGTGTTTTTGTGTGAATGTAATAATTTGCAGTAAAAGGTCAAAGGGCAAGAGGGAATGAATGAATAAAAAGACAAATACATTAGTTACAAAGATACGTAAGGCAGCTACTGCATGGAAAATAATTCATTGACATACATTGAGCACTACACACCCTATCTTACATATAATTCACCCTTATTAGCCTCAACACAGCTAGTAACAACTTGCAGCAAAATGTTGATAAAGTGAGACTTTCCAGATTTTTTTTATGAAGGGGAGCACTTTAATTCTAGGTTTTTTCCCCCAAGGATCTGTTCTGAAAAAGGAAAGAAAGAAAAGGAAATTAGAAATATTGCACATTTACGAATTTGTACATTTTGTCAATATTATGATGAAACTTGATCTGGCTGATCTTCTAACCAATTGGAGCTCCAACTTGCAGTTCTATAGATATACTGTATCGAGAGTTTTATCACGTGAGCTTAAAGCAAGTTAAAGGTATTTCTCAGAAATCTGTCAGATTGGATTCCGGAAATATTACATACGATTCAAATTCATGAGTTTTGCTCATTTAGAGAAGACTGAAAACTTTACTTTCCTAAATTCTGAAAAATTGCAGATTATCATAATTCCTTCAAAAGTACACCCGAAATTGTGTAAAAAAAATGTTGGGATAAAAAAAGCTTTGTGCATGTAATATGTACTGTTGTCAAACAACCAATCATGGTCTGTCATACCTTATAACAGATTTGTAACTGGCAGGCTTTGTGATACGTTCTCATTGGCTGACTAGTTCCGTCTTTTACCAGGTGATGATATCTTGTGATAAAGAATCAGACCTCTCTGTGTGTGATGATAACGTTAGACAGGTTTCATTGTTCATACATGGTTTTAATTATACGACTTTCATTTCTACAGCCATATTGTTGTTTGTGGAGAAGAAGTGCATATATGTATGTAATATGTTGTGCTCCGGAGAATTCATTATACTTGGTCAACAGGTTCCTCGACATTTTTATCGTGATATCATATAACTTGGGTTAACAGGAAACCTGTACTGATCCGTCGTCGATCTTAGGCTGTTATTAACATGTCTGTCAAATACAAATATACTTTGTATAACCTGTGTCTGTCTTCATTGTACACCCTGCCACAGAGATACAGAGGCTGCTGTATAATGTCAGCCTCTACAGTTTGATCTTCCCCTTGTTCACACTCCCCAATGGTTGGTACCATCCAATGTATAGTAATCACTTGTGAAGGGCGAACTTAACACTGGGTGAACATGGTATAGGTAAAGGGCAAATATTCGACTTAGCAAAAGTTTCCTTTGTAGACAATCGGACACCTATGGAACAAGCAGGAATTTAATGATAACCTTTATTTCCACATTTGACCGGCCTTCTGTCCACACACACATAAAACCAAAAGTGACAAGACACAGTTATGTCAGTAATAATAACAACACAGCGTTTGAGTTCTAGATTGTATTAAGGAGCTACTAATGGAACATGATACTGATATGTTGGATATTGATATAGTTATACATGTTATTACTTATACACACATTTATACATACTACACATAATATGCATACAATACAAAACTTGACTTGAAGACCGGCTCAGCTGTTCTGACTTGGATGTGATTTTGTAGATTTAAATTACAACATTTTATAAGATGTTACAGATTTACGTCTCTCAAATTTGGGACCTCTACCCTGAGGTAAATAATCCACCAGTATCCGTAAGTGTACCGCTACAACGATGGTTGAAGAAATCTTCAAGACTACTGTGTTTGAATCATCCCACAGATTTGGAACATCTACGCCGTGGTAAAAGTTCGCCAGTATAGCAAGGATGTATATATACCGTACAACGATTGTTGCAGAAATCTGTGTGATCAGGGTTCGAAACTCTTGACCTTTAATGAATTACTTGGGGAATAATGATGTTTATAGCATGATAAATCCAAAACTCAGATGTGAAAACCCTGTGTGAACAGCTGAGTGTCTCCAAGCCCTATAGACTAAAAATATGATGAATCATTTCAAGCATGATAAAAACCATGAATCACAAGCCAATCCTGCTCACACAATCACTATAAAGAAACCACCTATGTTATGAAGCCAAATTAAATGTTGCCCATTGACCCATTGCAGTGATTTCATTGTGAACTACAAAGGATCCCTGTAACACTGCCGAAAATAAAACCATGCATTCAAAACTTAGTTTTTTGGCATGACTGTAGCTTTGATAAATCATTTCTAAAAAGAAAACCATCCCTTGCAGGACTTTAATGAAAACATAATAGAGATGAAATAAACAAAATTTAATCAACAAATGTGTTCTGATTGTCTGTGGGGTCAGACTAAGACCAATTGAGCTGCCTGGACAACGGAAGTGTACAAGCCAAGATGTGCTACACTAATATCCAAACGGAACTTAAGGGGAGGTTACTGTACATAGGATAAACAGCAGTGCAGTGGCACGGATCATCAACAGACCGCTCACTGGACTTCCTCAAGGGTGGTTCACAGATCATCAACAGACCTCTCATTGGACTTCCTCAAGGGTGGTTCACAGATCATCAACAGACCTCTCATTGGACTTCCTCAAGGGTGGTTCACGGATCATCAACAGACCTCTCATTGGACTT